ATGACGTCATTTTGCAGTCAGCTACATTATATTTTACAGAGCCATTTTATACCATTAAAGATTTAAGTGTTACTGTTTTGAAGCAAATTTGTTTTGTAGTAAGTATCCAAGTGCGTTTAATAAACTCTTTTTAATTTTAATAAATTTTAAAACATTAAAAACTAATCGCAATAAAAATTTGTTAAAATTGTTGTCGATAAAATTTAAGTTGCTAGTAAAATTGACTGCCGGAGGAGAAAATATTTTATTTCACAAGTTATAAGCGCCGTTGCGTATTTGTGCTGTCCAAGGAATCTTTGTTTTCTTATTTTATTCATAACTAAGTAGCGAACAAATCCAATCGAGTAAATGACAAATAAATTAAAGTACACAATTAAAAATTTCCGATCTCGAATATGTTACAAAAAATCCCAGTTTTTTTATAATTTTTCTGATAAAAGTGCAACAAAAATCTCTGATAAAAAAAAGTTTGGAAATATTTACACGGTACAGATATAGTAAAACTACATTATTAAATTGTCATGTATATGTATGGCCACAATAACATGACTATATTACTAAATTGCGGTGTAAATACGCTAAAACCCGACTGAATAAACGTTTACATAATTTTTGTAGGACTTTTATAACCTTAAAAAAGTCAATAAAATTAAGATCTTAGTAAAATAAGTAAACTCTTATTAAAAGTTATGTTGATTGCTATAATGCTTTCACTGGTTGAGGTGGGTGTCGTAAGAGGTGACAGGGGGAAGCTGAAACAGGAAAAACAGGCGACAGCCAAACGTGGATGACAAATATATGGAGACACTGCCCCCATCAGGCAACCCATGGGGAGAAGCAATAATTCAACAGCAGACTTTTGCTGTAGTGAATATAAGCAAAGTGAAAAAATTACACAATATCGCGGTTATTGAGTATTGTGGCTAATAGACACACCTACATCTAGCCACGAAAAAGAATTAAAGTCGATAAAAGTTAAAGGGGTTCCCCCCCCACCGGGCACTAAGACTTACATTTGTTTTTCTAAAATATTTAATGTGTGTGTGTGTGTGTGTGTGTGTGTGTGTGTGTGTGTGTGTGTGTGTGTGTGTGTGTGTGTGCGTGTGTGTGTGTGTGTGTGCGTTTGTGTGTGTGTGTCGTGTGTGCGTGTGCGTGTGCGTGTGCGTGTGCGTGTGCTATTGTGTGTGTGCATATATGTGTGTATATGTGTATAAATATATATTATATTGTTGTTTATTTTACAATAGATAGAATAATAGGAATTTTCATTTTTTAATAATTTATTAGCAGATATATAAAATGTCTTTCCACGGTCTCATTAAACTACTACGCGGCTAGTGACCGACGTCAATATGAATTATACATTACCTAAGGGAAGTAAATACAAAGAAACAATTTCAGCAATGATCTCATTCAATTTCGCTTGTTTCCACGCAATTCTTACAGCATAAGGAAAATATCGCAGTAATTCGAAAAGTTTTATTACTTTTACGTGAGTATTTGGCAACTCGATTTCGGCAAAACATGCTCTAAAAGCTTTCGTTTACTCTTTTACACTGATTTGTGCTTCTCAGTAAATATACATATGTTTTATATTTGATTAGTCGTTGCTGGTTGGTAGTTACATATACCACGGAGGTTTAGTCAAGACAGGTGTATGACGTAAACTTATTGTAATATTCAAAAAGTTGAATGCTAAAAAAAGTAGACGTCATACAACTCAACGTCACATCCTTGCGGACTGTAAGTTACGTAATTGCAATAAACATATTATGTTTGTCCAAGGAATAGTTGCGTGTTTTAAAAAGGATATTTTATAATTATTTTAGAGTACTTATCTCCATAACTTTGTTGCGATAAATCAAAAATATCTTAACAGAAAAAGTTTTAGCCTTATTAAATCACAGTAAAAGTAATACAGTACTTATCATCGCTTCCGTTATATAAAGCTGCACGTATGGTCATCAATCTTGTTTTCAATTAGATTTCAGAACGCAAAATCGATTACTTATACGATTAAACAATACTACTCGTGTGTGGGTCAATCAACTATTCGACCCACATTTTGGAGAGCTCAGGCAAAATATTTTTTTTTAAAATAAATATTTAATATGTGCATTCCGACACGAAATATCAACTATTTTGTATATTTCAAAGGGGCACGAAGTTGATTTATTATTTTGGCCGCAATTTGCGAAAATGTATTAGCACACTTTAAAAATAGTCTACTGCGTAACCATAAAATAAATATAATGATCAATATAGTCTGAATAAAACAAATATATAAATGATTCGTAGTTTTTATTTAGTTTTGCACGCAAAATTAATTGCTGTAATAAAGTCAGTCTTAACAATTGTTTAGTTTTTATATTAAAAGTAATCAATAAATTGTATCTTGCGTTACCAACATCAAAAATAAACACGAAACTTTTCATTATAACTAAATAAGTAATTAGATAAACGCAAAAACTCTATCCTACAGATGCCCTTTTATCTACAGTATATTGTGATATAAAAATATAGATTCTGATGTAGGCAGGAAGATCACCACGTTTAAAAACGAAAATTTAAAATTAGGGACAAAAAGTAACTTCAGAGACAAACTTGGTAACGCCTAAGACATAAAATCAGCGAACTTATTTTTTTTAATATTTAAAAAAATTACCTACTTCTAAACATAATGACTTTGAAGTAAGTAACAATCATACTAATATAAGAAATTTGATTTACAAATAAGGAACAAAATAATATCACATTTATGACAAATATTCTACTATTAATAATCAACTTCGTCATATTTATAATCTTGAAATCAAATTGCGGCAGTAGTTTTTTTTCAAAAATATCAATGGAATCAGTAAATTTATACATATCTTATTCTAGAAGGCTTGGTACCGGCAAGATGCTAATAACATCTTCATAATTTACGTAGCTGATATCCTTTTCGTCTACTCTGAACTGCTTCGCATCATTACTAACTACCCGTAAAAACATAACTTTAATTTCACCGTCTTCTTCTATAGAGGACAAAGCCTTGCAAACGTAAGAATAAATGTTCTTTTTTTTGTTACTGCCATAAACATAAACGTGTAAAAATCACCAATTGATACCTGTTGAGAAATTTTGTCGTAACTAGTGGAAGCTACTTGGTCCTCCTCTATATGGACATTTTGAAAACGAAATTTATCATCTACAGCCATCGATTTACGATTTTCCTTATCAATTTGTGACTCGTCGTCACTATCAGATGAAGATCCATAGACAGCTCGATAAATACTTCGTTGGGATGGTATATTTTAGATTTGCTTCAACACGGCAAGAGGGACATCTTCATCTGATGGATCTAGAACATCGTGTCTTTTTGGTTCGGGGATTTGCAGGTGGATTTGCTTAGTAGGGTCTACATTTAACTGCTTAGCAGCATTACAATTCACTTGGTACGTTTTGGGGTTCAGGCAGTTACAAAAACCTCTCTTTGTAAATTTACAAAAGCAGGAAAGCTCTCTATATTTTACGATATTTCTTTTATCTGTAAATACATGATGAACCTGCAATGTTCCAATCAGACGTGGGATAGTATTCGGCAGATCATCTTGCAGTTTTTAATAGCCTCCTCTTTTATCAAAAACATCCTGATTTTACTGGTATTTTCAAGTTGCTTGAAAAACGCATCTGCATTCGGAATATCCGCACTTGTAGCTACCAACTTATCAGCATAACGCTTTAGAAACCCTCCAATTCCATCTGCAGGGCCTTTACCGTGACCGGCTTCAAAGAAAGACCAAGTAGCTGCTGTAAACCCATAATCAAAATATTTTGTGCAAAGCAGATAGAAGTTTTGCTTTTGGCGATATTGAGTCGATGGTCCGTCTGAGAAGAAATGTCTCTTTATATAGTAAATAGTATCAACAGCTTCATGTGAATTTTTTACCCATTCTAAAATCGGCTGTAAGTGGCTCCAGATGGCTGCAGGCTGATGACAATTTGAGGCAGAAACGGAGCAGAAGGAATTAGCTGCATGTTGTTTTTCGTGGTTGTAAGTGTAAACCACTACAGTATGTAATGTTATTTGGTTTCTGGACCCTCCGAAATGATGAGATTGCACCTCTTCGTGATATTTACAATTATAATTTTCACTAAAGTCGACTACAATAGCGCACTCATTGGGTTGCATTTTACTTAAACACTCGCGAAATTTTTGAAACTGGATTTTAATATTGTATATATGCTTTTTGAAAGAAATAATATCCTTTTCAAAGTTTTGTCTTAGATGTGCAACTTCTTCAATTTTTTTCCTCTTTTACATTCTTGATTGCTTTTATTATTTTACCGTCTTTCTCGAACTTGACTTCTTTCCTTACCCATTCACTGTATTTTATAGTGCCATCAATTTTTCTTTGATCGTAGTCTATCTTCTGGTTCATGCATTTTTTACACTTATTGTACATACAATCCTTTGACCGATCGCTGCATACTGTCTTTCGAATAATGACATTCAAATCTTTTGTATTTAGTAGACCTTGTTTTGTCAACGCCTGAGCCTTGTACGACATGTTTGCATGCGTTTTACACATACAGGTTTCCCTGGCATCAATGGAAGGAGCAATGACATAAAATGGTCGATGCTTCGTGAAATAATAATATGAGCACGCTGTGTTTGGATTTTCTTTCTTAAATTCTATGTGAAGTTTTTTCATTGTATCCAGTAAGTATCTTCTCTGCATTTTATTTCCATTTCTTGTCACTGTTTCTTTTTTTCCAGCTGTAGCTCTAGACACATGGTCGCGTACGAAAAATTGGTGAATTTTCTTCCTTAGCTGTAGTCTGCTACGATTGGTCTTTGGTTTTTTACGATACTCTCTGTGTATTCCGAGTGTTTCTTTGAGCAATTCTGCTTTCTTTTCTAGATCTTTCAATAAAGCCAGTATTGAAAATGCTTTTAAGCAGTCTTTTCTCGTTGAGACTCCTTATCGTCTTGTACCGATCTTTTATAGACTTGGTCAAAAGATTATAGCTTTGCTTGTCTTCTGGTTTCTTGTTATTTTTACTTCTTTTTGTTTATTTCGCATTAGTTTTTTCTTATATTTTTCACAAAATCTCTTCAAATTTTTATTTTCCTCTTCCAATTTTTTGTTTGCTCTATATACTTTAGATTTATGTTTCTTCACTTTTTTTCGTTCTCGCTCTCTAGACGCATTTGAAACCGGTGATGCCGGTGGTGGTTGGTGGACTGCTTGAATATCTTGTACTCTAGGTAATGGAGAACTTGGCGGTGTCACATCTATAATACTTTGTAGATTCTTTCTTCTTTTCCTATATTCCCTTTGCCTTAGTTTCCAAATCAAATTAGCTTGTTTTCTTTCCTTCGGTGACAAATCTTTTGCTAATCTTTTCACTTTGTGGTAGTGCTCTCTATGTTTTCTTTTGTTTTCTTCATATTTTTCAGGGTTATTTTTAAGCCTATCTCGATATCGCTTTTGTTTTTCTGCTGCTGTTAAACGTGCCATTGCATATCTAAGGAAGGAAGAAATACAGTTTTTATGTTTCAGTTCGTAATAAATTATTCAATGCAATATAAAAAATAAGACATGTAAATTGGAAAGAACTAGCTTCCGCTTTCGACTTTTTACCGAAATAAAAGTATCTTATAGCCTTATCTAGGTCACGGTATACTGTGTGTCGAATTTAATGCAAACCCATCAGTAGTTTTTGTGTTAATAGGTTGTTACCAACAAACACTCACTTTCGCACTTATACTTAACATTTAAGTGAAGATAATTACCATTGAAAATAATGTGCTAATGAAATAAGAGAAGTACATATTGAAAATGAAATAGTAATACAAGAATCATATATAAAAATAGGTATTGATTTAAGTTTAACGCCACAATGTGTTCAACAGTGCGCGAATGTCTCTGAAGTTACTGACGATATCTATGGAGTTACCTTCAAAGTAACTCAGTATACTCGTAACTGAGGAGACAATTCAAGTACTTTGATCAAAAATACATTTTATTATAAGTATAAAAAATAAGTGACATATGATTTAGTCGATAACCACAGCTAGTACTAGGTATATAATATTATTATTAAAAGGTTACTACTTACATTTTACGAGAAAATGTGGTAACTCAGTTGACGGCACAAAAAGGTACGCGCTCTCTCTGTAAGCGTTCGAGGCAGACTGATTGACTTGTCGGCACTCATCAAAGTTTCGCCCGCCGTTGTTACCGCATACGACTTAAATGAAGTTAACAACATCAAGACATATCATCTAGGAGTTCTATTAACGCAAATTTTGGAGGTAACTCAGCATACACATGCAAAAGGTATTTATTGAGGGACAGTCCTAAATTATTTTTTCTTCAAATATTTTATGTTTATTTAATATCAGTGGTTAATCTCGATAAAGTTTATTGTTTTGTCTCTTTGTAAAATTAATTTCAAGGCAGGTTTTTATAGAAAAAAATTATTTCAACGGGAATTAACATGAGAGACTATGGTCTGAGGACAAGGATTTTTTGTATGGGAGCTCTTTTTGGTATACTGAGTTACCCTAAAAATCAAAACAAATTGTTAATTTTCTGTAACTTTAGAATTTTCCTAATGATGCCTGATTATTTGTTATATGTTTAGAAGACCATTAACCTATAAAAAACTTTTAATTAAATCATGAAGTAAAAAAAACCTGCTAGGGACACCTAAGTGTGGGTAAAAAAAGTTGATCCACCCGTGTATGTCTTTTTGGTAATCGATAGGATTATTGTAGAGCCCCTGAGTGTGTTGGTGCAGAATGTGCTTCGAATGAGAAATATTTCCTATTTCGCCAACACATTGTTTGATTGAATTATTTTTACACTTCGGTTCCTATTTACTTTTTTAAATAGATATTATTATAAAATGCATGCCTTTATTTGCGTATAATGGCATTGCTAGAACAACTGTACAACAACAATACCGCAGTAAAATAGCAGCTTAATACTACTGTGTTTCGTATAGTGAGTGTAGAGAACCGGAGACCCTATATTACTGAAAACGAGACATTCCATATTAGTCCTCAACTGGATGACAACGCATCTGCGTTTTGATTCTTAATCGAGGATAAATGTAAATGTCTATGGGCCACTGCTTGCACTTACCATCAGGTGGATTTAAAAAAAATATACTACTATCCCATACCGTCCCGTGGGTGTCGTAAGAGGCGACAGAGGGAAACAAACCGGGATAGGGCAGCAGCATCTTCCTAATAACAACTCAAAATATAAATAAAAACTGCCTTTGCCAACCCGTCCACAAAGCGTGGCTACTATGGCAAGTATTGGGGATGCCACTGTATACTACTATCGAGCAAGCTATGAGGGAAACCTGTGATCAGCAGTGGAGTGTCGCTAGGCTGTAATACGAATAATATTTTTTGATAATGTTATTTATTGCGCTAGGGTAATGTCATTGCCCATGCGAGCAACCAATGAAATTTTAATATCGAGAGAGTCGATTTTAATGGCGTGGCAAATGAAAGCAAAATGGTACCAATGTCTCTTAAGGCGGCTGTATACTCTCGACGAGAGCACTCGCCATGCCTCTCGCGAGCCTCTCGCACGAGAAAGCGCTTTCACGAGTGTGACCTTATACATTATCGTTTATTCAGTTACGGTGAGCGACGGCGGGGAGATGGACGCATGATTTCGGACGGATGGATTTTTGTCTTTCTGGTAACGATGCGTGGTCTCCCACAAAATAGGTTCACTTTGATAAATTTCTAGAAAATTAAGTTCGCTCTCTTGGTTCCACATGATAACTTTGTGCTAGTAGGATAATCAAATATACTGCACGCGACAACGTCTTGCGGTAGACTGAACGAAACGCGAGTGTAGTGTACACTGTACACTGACGCACTCGTGTCCACTCGTGAGGGAAGGCGAGGCCCTTTGACTCGCGCACCAAAAACCGACACGAGCGCGAGAGCACGCAAGGCGAGGCGAGGGAAGGCAAGGCTCAGCGAAAGTATCCTGTACACTCTCGTCCTCTCCTTGTCTCGTAGACCCTCGTCGAGAATGTACAGCCGGGATTACAAGTATCCTCGAGTAAGAATCAAAATCTAAATACGTAATTACCACTTAAGATTAAGATAGAATGCTTCGTTAGGTCGTGTCTCTGATTCTCTCGACTTTTGCTATTTTACGATGGCATACTTTTGTTTGATTTTGTTATTATTTTTTGAAGTTTATCTCAAAAAAGTCTATCGGATTTAATGTTCTCAGTCATGAGCAGGTGTCAGTTTGTCACAAAGCACTTGAAACTCGGGAGTTTTTTTAGTATAATTAAGGTGAAAAACGAGGACACAGTCCAGCTGATGGTAAGTGGATCCTGTGGCACATAGACATCTACATTTGACTTCTATTAAGAATCAAAATTAAGAATCAATGCAGATGCGTTGTCACCCCTGAGGACTAAGATGGAATGTCTCAATTCCAATAAAACGGGTCTCTGGTTCTCTACACTCACCATACAAAACACAGCAGCATCAAGCTGCTTTTTACGCTGGTGTACTGTGACAGCGTGCTCCTTCTCTGGTCGTACCGACGTTTTCATGCTACAAACATAATATAGTTTCAGCGCGGCTCTACCACGATAAATTACGGTAAAATAATTGTAAGTTAAATTAAACGGAATAAAATCCGTAAAGTTAGTTTTATTTATGTGATCACAAGGTCCCGGTCCCTAACATTGAAACCTTTTGAATTTCACGCTTAATACTTACTTCGGATATTTGACGTTAAGTAGGGTAGTTATTTTTTATACTTTATTTAATTCTTACCTCTTCTACATCATCCTCTAATAGTCGTCTGCTGGAGGATTTCAGAATCATTTAAGGTGGAATGGCGATTGATGTACCATGACGTATTCTAGGTAATTCGTGTGTTAAGGAGATGGTCATACCGCTGTCTCTCAGATGACATTAGATCTTTCTGGCATATTCTCTTACCATTTCTTGCACACGATTCTTTTAAACATCATACAACACGAATATTATTTACGAGGATATCAGTATTTTACTAAGCACACTGTGTTTTTCGCCGATCGTAGTCAATGGCGAACCAATATTTATGATTTTTTTTCATTAATACTTGTTCAGGGGTAGTTTCATATTAAGCGGCTCATTAAGTATATTAAATAAAACGCTACCCCCATAGCTGGATGTCACCTGTATCGTAGAGGCAGTTTACAAACTTAAGTTGCACAAGTACACACACACGTACTATACGTGGACGAGCCACGTTGCAAGTATATTATGATTGTAGGACGAAAGGGTCGGCTCGACCCTGGTGCTCTCTCGTAAACTACAGCAGCTTATGATGCTATGTTTCGTATGTTGAGTTTAGAGAACCGGAAAACCATTTTACTAGAAACGAGTCATTTCATCTAAAATATTTATCTCTATATTTAAATTATCTATTATTATCACTATATTTAAATATCTATCAGAACTTTCATAAATAGAGTAGCTTTTGTTAATGTTCCGGACCATTAACAAAGACAAACTGCGGTTAATCTCGGCTCATAACGTCACGCTGACCACACTGCAGTTAAACACTAAAATTCGTCCCAAACAGAACACCGAAAGGGACAGAACAGAACAAACAATGTTAGTAATGGCCAAACAACCCCACTTACCTGTCGCTCGCTATATGTTAAACGAAAACTCGGTAGATCTCCCGAGGTGAAGCTTTCAGGCGGGTGTGTGGTCCCCAATCATATTTAAACTATGTTGATACAAAGTTTGCAGCAAAATTGAGCTTATAACGTTGTTCCTTTGTTCATGATTTGTACACCAGTTGACAACCAAATAGTAGTGATGGTATATAATAAATAAGAAGTTGGAACCAACATTTGTGCAAAATCACATTGCACATCAAATTGGTCCAAAAATCTATCGATACTTTTATAATTTTAGTGACAAATAAGCTAATTGTGCACCAGATGGTAAATGGCAACTGCTGTCTACGAACGCCTAGACTAAGTTAGAAAAAATGAGGCCCTGAAGACTAAGAAAGCCTCGCAGCATGTACTTATTCTTACCCTTCAAATTGGCAGTGCGATTCTTTAGCCTCGGCAGGAGTTGTTGCTGCTGGAAATCACACCGCAACTACAATAGGAGTCACTATCACGATTGTTCATTGTGACAGAACTTTGTAACCTAAAATAAGATGTATAATGTAAAAAACCTCGTTTTTTTTAATAAAAACGTGTTAATAAAAACGTGCTAATAAAACGTGTTAATAAAAACTTGATAATAAAAAGGTTTTAATAAAAACGTGTTAATAAAAACGAGTTAATAATTTTTTTTTAATAAAAACAAGTTAATAAAAACGTGGTAATAAAAACGAGTTAATAAAAAGGTGCTAATAAAAATTCTAAGCGTATAATCGATACTGATACACTATTCAACGAACTAAACGTAAAATCGAAGCTAACGGTGGGCCACCAAGGCTACACCACCGAACTGGAGAACAGTTGCTTGCAGAACGTCGGTGCTCTAGTTTTATTGATGACAATAACTAGTATAAAGGTTTTACAGTAATATGTAAAAAGGAATCACCAAGTCACACCGTATCAAACCCAGTATCATCATCATCATCATTACAGCCCTTCACAAGTCCACTGCTGAAGTTAGGCCTCCCCCAAGGAATACCACAAAGTGACATGAAAAATCTTACTTACATGGTAATTCTCTACAGAAAAATGAAAACACCTGCAATAAGTACTTAAAAAACATAAATGTTTATATTTTCAATCCTTTAATGTAAGTAATATAAATAATTAAAACCGATTTGCATTTTGCAAAGATGCTGGTGTTAGCTGGTATTGGAATTCGGATTCGCGACATATAGGAAAGGTAGGTACTTTTACGCAAGTTATATCGAACGCCATCGGAGGCGTCATAAAACCGAAAATAGTTTTAAAATATATTTAATATAATTAAAAGAGAAAACAAATATAATGATTTCTATTTAATATGTAATGGCTTTAGCGATGCTAGAACCCAAGTGGTCGATGTGCGTCGCCACGTAGGCCAACCAAGACGTCGCAGTCAGCAAATGCGCCATTGCGGTGAATTCATATTACTCATACACAGTTTACACATACCGCGTCCTGTCAGGATTTACATCACAAAGCAAAGTCTCGAACATTCGATGCACCTTCAGCGGGATTCAAATGTTCACGTCACGTAACACGTATGTGTAATATGAAGTATATATTTAATAAGTCAGCGAACAGTTCCGCTCCTAGACTTTAGCTGAGAGAGAATCTGCATAACTAAAATGACCTATCTTGGCCTTTGATTACTATCAATCTCCCTTGAGACGGACTTCCCACTCATCAGTCTCTATATTTTAGTTATTTTCACAAGATTTTGTAACTTTTACCTTCGTCAACTTTGACGACTCCCACGGGGTATTCCATATAGTATACGTCGTGTGCATGGCATAGTATGATGGCTGCGACCCGTTGTATATTGTGAAATATTCATTATTTCACACGAAGCTCATACGTATTCAGGGAGTTCGGGAGCGCGTTATATTCAAAACCACGATATGTGAAATTGAAAACTTTTTCACCAAAATATTGTATCAAAATTTCTAGAAAATTTATTTATTTATTTTATATTTTCGCCTTTCTTTTTAAAAGATTCTCTGTAATCCGTTTCAATATATTCTGATATACATATAAAAGTATCTTTTTCTATTTTATAATTATAATTAGTTAAATTATAAATGTTTTTTGGCGGACTACCCTCACAATGTTTTCTTTAACCGCCGAGCAAGTTTTAGCACGACGACACACACATACACACACACACACACACACACACACACACACACGCACGCAGGCTTGCTCTCACACACACACGAACACACACACACACACACACATACACACACACACACACACACACACACACACACGCGCGCGCGCGCGCGCGCGCGCACACACACACACACACACACAGACACACACACACACACACAGTGAGAGAGAGAGAGAGAGAGAGAGAACACGCACGCACGCACACACACACACACACACACACACACACACACACACACACGCACACACACACACACACACACACACACACACACACACACACGCGCACACACACACACACATCATCTGATAATAAGCGACAGAGGGAAATAAAACACATGGACAGTAGCACTTTCACTGCGGTTTCCCATCCACCTACTAAGTGTAGCAACCATAGCTAATTTGACTATAATGATGATAATGATTTCTTATATTTACGCGAACATTGCACATAATTAAAACTACTTTTTACGGATTTTATCGCGTTTATTTTTTACTTTTTATTTTTAATTCCCGACGTTTCGGGCGCTTTCCAGCACCCATGGTCACGGGGGACTGAGATGACTGACGTCCCGATGTCATTGTTAAACCCGGAGTACCTTCAGCTTTTTTAATTATTGTTTATGGTCCGATCTATGCAAAATGAACTGACTATGTCCTGGGGTCTTGCAGTGGTATGCTTGGGTTTAGTTTTAATTTTATTGATTATAGGATCCCAAGCAGGTGGTAGTACCCAGCCTCCTTCTCTATTGAAATTAGGATGTTTTTTAATTTCAATAGCCTCACGTATCATCCTTGGTAGGAATCGGTGTTCTTTCGCGAGGATTTGTGGTCTATCAAATCTGATGTAATGGTTGGGGCCGTCTAGGATATGATATTGAAGTCTGCAGTTTGTGATCATATCCTAGACGGCCCCAACCATTACATCAGATTTGATAGACCACAAATCCTCGCGAAAGAACACCGATTCCTACCAAGGATGATACGTGAGGCTATTGAAATTAAAAAAACATCCTAATTTCAATAGAGAAGGAGGCTGGGTACTACCACCTGCTTGGGATCCTATAATCAATAAAATTAAAACTAAACCCAAGCATACCACTGCAAGACCCCAGGACATAGTCAGTTCATTTTGCATAGATCGGATCATAAACAATAATTAAAAAAGCTGAAGGTACTCCGGGTTTAACAATGACATCGGGACGTCAGTCATCTCAGTCCCCCGTGACCATGGGTGCTGGAAAGCGCCCGAAACGTCGGGAATTAAAAATAAAAAGTAAAAAATAAACGCGATAAAATCCGTAAAAGTAGTTTTAATCATGTATAATGATGATAGTTATCAGAATTACAATAATTCTAATTTTCACCAAACTTTTCTTCCGCAGAAAATACGTTTACTGTGGTGGTGGAAAAAGATGGCAGAGGGCTGGGCATGTCGGTTTGCGGTGGCGGAGGACTCGTGCGAATACGGCGGCTGTATCCACCCCAACCCGCGTGGCGGACTGGTCTGCTGGCACCGCGGGATCTGCTTCTTTCTGCAAATGGAGTCCCTTTAGCCGGTCTTAGTACCTACGTAAGTACGATATTAGTAACAATTTTTTAAAATATTCTCTTTTATGAGTACTTATAATGAAGATTGTAGGATGCAGCAGGTCAGTCTTTCTATTCCAAGGTCAAAATTCAACACAATCATTATCTTTTCTTGTATTCATCGTTGGTACGTCCGTTAGTAATCGTGTAACTTTGTGAACGACTTGCCTGATTGAGGTCTCATTTACAGGATATTCTTATTTTGTTGAGACGATGATTAATAGCTCTAATAGGATTCGACAGATGGTACTGTACTCAAGTTATTAACAAATTGTATTTGCGAGCAACAAAATGACTTATATTGATACTATATTAGGTTACTACTATATTAGGTTTTGTGTAAAAAAGAAGATGCCAGATGTCGACCAGCCGACCCATTCATGCTACAACCATAATATAATTAATAGAATCAGGCGTTACTTTGCGGAAATCCATAATACTAAAGATATGAAAAGTTACTTTGCAACCATCCGCTCAATAAAATAAAAGGATGTGTTTTACCTAGTTTGAAGAGCATCTCCCGCCCTCCCTCAATTTCATGCACTAATCCCATCACCAATAATCCATTTCATTTATCCAATCATTCAATTTCAATAAAAAAAAATCAACCATTTTATTTTGTTGAGCGGATGGTTGCAAAGTGACTTTTCATATCTTTAGAATAATTAACAATAATTTATGCAGTTTTACCACTTATATAGTTTAATTTAATCCTGCACAACCCCACACGGCTGATAAAATGCCTTCCTACCGATAACATACTCAAATTTATTTCTTTTCTTTGTGCTATACCTTTAAACGAGCAATTCTTGTATATATATATATATAATAGGAATCTCGGAAACGGCTCCAACGATTTTCAAAAAATTTAGTGTCCAGAGTTTCGGGGGCAATAAATCGATCTAGCTAGGATTTATTTTTAGAAAATGTCCCTTTGTCCGTGTTTTCAGGCAATAAAAAAACTGCTACAATATAAGAAGGTAAATATTGACAGGTTACTAACGATCGTAATAGCTCAGATGTTGTTCGGGCGTGATTTCGGTGTTCCGTGGTTCGCGTCCCGTCTTGAGTCCGACTTTTTTCCCTTCTTTTGTGAGAAAATCTATTATTTCGAGCCCTTTTTTTTTAGAATTTTTTAAAAATCGAAAATTTTAATTAATCTAATTGCACTCATGATTTTTTATTCAAATGACCAGTTCAGTTTTTTCTATTATGTCAATAAGATCAAAAACTATTATTCATGTAATTTGTATATAAATGTAACTTAAAAAAACCGAACAAAGCTCGGTCATCCGGGTATTACTATAAATACAATAGACATTTCTATTAATTAGTTAAGATTTATTTTTTATATTGTCCTCCGTTCGCCGATCGCCGCGAAATGATGTCAACGCAAAATTTAATAAAATACCTTCGTAGATTGTATTCAATAACAAAGCTCAAAAGACCATGAACAATGACTGACCGAAACATAATTAACAACTTTAACAAAGGGGAAATATCAGTGTTTGGAAATAATACGTTACTTCATTCCTCGTATTGTAATGATAAAATTGAATACAAGGTAAAATAATTTACATTCAATATAGATTACAATTGTAGTTTTAGAAAGTCAGTTCTACTTTTACCACTGGTTCGGAAAAAGCTCGGTCCGGGGAAAAACCAGCTAGAAACTCAGCGGAACTTTTTTTAATTTACTTACAATAAAGATAGAAACAGCATGGTATTGACCACCTCATTCCCAGGGGTTATTATCAACCATGTACTCTTAAATATAATAACTCTAATTACGTATTTTTATGCAAATTTGTGCGAGTAAATAAGCACAGAGCCGATCCGATAGTAAGTGACTTGATAGTTTTCCGGACCGATACGACTTAGGGACTTTCGAGAAAAAAGCCGGCAACGTATGTGCGATTCCCCTGGTGTTGCGGTTGTTCATGGGCGACGATAGTCACTTAACATCAGGTGAGCCACATGTTCGTTTGCCCCCTCTTCTATAAAGAAAGTGAATGCTGTTGCCCCTAGACTCCTATGTATGTGTTTGTATTAGTAGCCTCATGGAATTAAGCCCGCCCCTTGTAGTCTTTTGATTTAAGAAATGCAGTAAAGAATAAAGAAATAAATGTATATGTGAGGACTAAGGGTCTACAGTACAGACTAAAAGGTCTACAGTACTCGAGACTCAAAAGCATAATGCTGCCTCAGACCCTGCTCCGTTTCACACTTATAACGAAATATTAAAATCGTAGAATATTATAATACAATTAAAATGATCAAATTCGTAATTACAATGTAATTTCAAATGTTTTCTTTGTTTTCGTTCTTATTTAATGATATTTGCAATTAGGTCATTGATCATGTGGCGAACTGACAATTGAACCGTAAGCGTTTAATCATGTCAATTATTATCGCCTCAATTTATTAAAATTGAAGAAAAATTAACTTGAATTTAATAAGAGGTATTATTAAACGTTGAAACAGAAATTTGATTGTATTTTCATGGATACAATTACCGGAATATCTTACCACGATTATTGTATTAATATAAGACGCCAAATAAAATTGTTTTAAATTAATATCCTTTTAAAACGTGCATTTTAAGCAAATATGTTTACCCAACTTTTGAGCTAATGATGAGTCTTTTCTTGAGTTGTGACCTAAATAAAGTCCAATAGACATCATTAGAGTAAAACAGGTCGTGCATTCCAGATTAACGTCATTGTCTTGAATACCCAATTAAAAGCGAGCGTTTACTTCATTTAACTGGTGTGTAGCACAAGTTTTGGTCTCTTTGTAGGTTTCGAAGTATGGAGAGTAGGTTAGTATTATTCGATTTTACGCATGCCAGGCTACCGAAGTTGTATGGGTTACCATAAATACAAAAGCTCAATGCTCCACTTCGTCCAGTAGTGAAATTATTTCACCAACTAACAGATTGAATCAACACTTTTTAGCGAAAATATTCTCAATGCTCAATGAACACACATTTTTTTTAAATAGAATAGTGGTGACCAACGAGCACACAGTCAGTGGTAAGTGGATGCTGTGGCCTATAAACATATACATTTATCCTCGGTTAAGAATCAAAATGCATATGTGTTGTCAACCCTGAGGACTAAGGTTGAATGCCTCATATCCAGTAAAAAGGGTCTCCGGTTTTTCTCTACACTCACCACACGAAACATAGCAGCATTGAGCTGCTATATTACGCTAATTTTCCGTGAGAGACTGACCCTTCAACGATTCAGCCGACCAACGATAACCACAATATAGCAGTAGCATAACTCTACCATGTGCAAAACGTGCACACGTCTTGCCATTGTATTCTTACTATTATGTCAATTTTAAGACATACATCTTGCATTTTGATGTGTAGTCAACCTGTTGAAGACTGCATGTCAATAAAAACTTTAAATCTAGAAGAAAACAATATCCCCGTAGAATATACACTATTTCTTAGATCTGATTTCTGGCTACTTATTGTGTAAGGAAGGGTTCTACAAGCAAGTAGATGGTATGGCAATGGGCTAACCCGTTTCTCCTATTCTCGTCATTGCTCCATTGTTATCAAGTTAAAACGATAGGTATAACATTTTTGTGTCTAATTTTAACAAGTGGTCAATGTCAATTAAATACGCATTTTTGTGGATAATTCAAAAACTACTGGTTGATCCTTGATCAAAATTATATGGGACCACATCAGAATCACCAGCTTTGAAATAAAAGAAGAATCATCAAATTTGGTTCACCTAGAAAAAAGTTCTGAGGTAAAACATAAAAAAATACAGTAGAATTGTGAAACTCCTCCTTTTTTGAAGTCTGTTGAAAAATGAGTTAGTATCCTCTTTTTTCTGCTTTACTAGGTTGTCACTGCTGGAAATAAGCCAATGTAGAAATAATTGCCATAATTCACCTCGCTTTGCAGGCTAAGAGACGATCCTGATATCTCACACCTTTAACGCTGCTTACCGTGGCCAGCCTGAGGCAATTTACAATATGATATACCGTAATCTATCAGTGACCACAAATTCTTTTCGCACAGTTGTCCAGCAAGACAATACAGAGCTATAGATTTTCTTATAATACCTCCTATATCATACCCTTCACCGGACGGCAAAGAACTGCGTTTACATTTAGTTTCAATTGCGCTTTTGTTTTATAATACACTAGAACCCAACCCGGCTACGCCTGGGTTAGATCTATTATTTGGGCTTTCAGATAATCAACAAGCATTTATTTCATTACATTTTATCTGTTCGTAAAGTATCTGTTCGTCTCCCTCGTTTTTTGGCTCTAGAAAATCGAAAAATCATCCGATTTCGATGATTTTTTTAAATCTTCGTCTTTATGGCGCATTTATGGAAAGAAATATGGAGAATATCTCACATCAAGATTTCATATAGTTTTATGACTTTAAATGTGATCATAAACGCACTTCTTCGAATATAATGGTTCATAACTTTTTTTTAAATAATCAAATGAAGTTGTTATATTTACAAATAAACGAACATTAAAAAAAGAAACATTGAAAAATGTTTGGTCACTAATTTTTATCTCACTTTAAGTTTTTATATAGTTTTCTGACATTAAATATTATCATGAACGCTCTAGAAAACCGAAATAATTATAAAAGTTAATATTTTGGTGTTTTATTGAGTGTAAGATCGAACTTGCCATCGAACGAGCCAAAAAACGAGGGGACCGCGATAGTATAAAATTACCGTACGCTGGACTGGCCATACCCTACAAAACGTTTGTGGTGATTTGAAGCGCCGCCATTGAGTGTACCGTGAACTAATTTTGACATAATTTGCAAATGGCCGTTGTTTTACGTTGTTTGTATAAAATTTGTGAATTGGCGTCTAAAGCAAATTCATTATGACGTTAATGATTTGTGATGTGGTATTCTTTGATGTAATTAAAGTTTGTAAAATTCAAATTGTACCTATAGATATTGTTGAACTAGGCATAATATTTTGT